GCTCAGGAGGTGGAGAGCTGTCTCATCCTGATAGCTCTAGTCCCTTCATATTATCATGCCTCCCAGCCTTCTCAGACCGTTGTTCAGCATGCTCAGCCTATCTCATCCGTGCCGCCCGGCTCTAATTCGAGCAAGAGGAAGGCAAATTCTCACTGGGATAACCGAAAGGGAAAGCGACGAGGTCCCGACTGGTGCAATCATCCCTCTTCTGGCAACCGAACCTGCAAGAAATGTGGCAAGTACCATAGTGGCGAGTGCTTAGACGACCAGCGAACCTGTTTCAACTGCAACCGTCCAGGCCAGTATGCCAGTGTCTGTCCGGAGCCCAAGAGGCGGCAGCAGTTCCCTCAGCAGCAGCAACAAAAGTTCCCTCAGCATCAACAACTTCTCCCACCACCACCTCATCAGCAGTAGCAGCCCCCACCGTTCCAGCAGAGGGCTGGGGGACAGGCCCGAGTCTATACCATCACCCACGATGAGGCCGCCCGCAACACAGGTACTATGTCCGGAATGCTTTCTATCTCCAGTGTGCCTGTCTTTGCATTGTGTGATACTGGTGCTACCCATTCTTTTATCTCTTCTCGTTGCTTGGAGGCCTTTTCTTTTAGTAATGTGAGTTCTTGTGATCCTCTCGAGGTTAGTCTAGCCTCGGGAAAAAATATTATCTCTGATTCGGTGGTTCGTAATCTTTCTATTTGTATTGGTGGTCGAGTTCTGGAGGCCGATGTGTATGTAATTGAAATGCAAGACTTTGATGTGATCTTGGGCATGGACTGGCTCACTCATTATCGAGCCGATATCCGGTGCCAGGAGCGCGAAGTCACCCTCTTTCCCGACTCTGATCAGCCTGTTGTGTTCTATGGGGTGAAGTCGAGGATCGTGCCTCAAGTCATCTCTTCTATGCAAGCTAGGAATAGCCTTTCCAAGGGTAGCTGTCAAGGCTATCTTGTTCCTTTGGTATCCGATGTTGTTGATGAGCGAGTACCCGAGAGAGTATCCATCGTTTGCGAGTACCTCGACATTTTTCTTGACAATTTGCCCGGAGGACTGCCGGACCGCCAGGTGGAGTTCAACATTGACCTAGTTCCAGGAGTCGGCCCCGTTTCTAAGGCTCCTTATCGTATGTCGCCGAGGGAGCTTCAAGAGCTCAAGGCCCAGATCCAGGAGTTTCTTAAGCTCGATTTTATTCGTCCGAGTGTCTCGCCGTGGGGTGCGCTCGTCCTATTCGTGAAGAAGAAAGACGGATCTATGCGCATGTGCATTGACTATCGGGAGTTGAATGCCCTTACCGTCAAGAACAAGTATCCCCTTCCCCGTATTGAGGACCTTTTCGACCAGCTGAGAGGAGCCAACATTTTCTCAAAGATTTACTTGCGTTCTGGTTATCATCAACTTAAGATCCGGGAGTCGGATATTTCTAAGACTGCTTTTCGTACCCACTATGGCCATTATGAGTTCGTAGTCATGCCGTTCAGACTCAGCAACGCCCCAACCGTTTTCATGGACCTTATGAATAGGGTCTTTCATCCTTTCCTGGACCAGTTCGTCATTGTGTTCATCGATGACATTCTGGTGTATTCCCGAGACATTGATCAGCATAAGGAGCAGTTGAGGATTGTGCTGGAGACTCTTCGCCGCGAGAAGTTGTATGCTAAGTTCTCGAAGTGCGAGTTCTGGTTGAACCGTGTGGCATTTCTTGGCCACATTGTGACAGCTCGACGCATTGAGGTGGATCCCAGCAAGATTGAGGCGGTGAGCAAATGGGATACGCCAAGAAGTGCTGCGGATGTTCGTAGTTTCCTGGGGTTAGCAGGATACTACAGGACGTTTATCGAGGGCTTCTCGAAGATAGCCCAGCCACTGACCAACCTTACGAAGAAAGCCGTGAGGTTTGATTGGAGTCCTCAGTGCGAGGAGAGTTTCCAGGAGTTGAAGAGGAGACTCACTACCGCGCCTATCCTATCCATACCCGACCCTACTTTGGAGTTCACCATCTATAGCGATGCTTCGAAGATGGGTTTGGGTTGTGTCCTTATGCAGCAGAGGAAAGTCGTAGCTTATGCTTCGAGGCAGCTGAAGCCTCACGAGCAGAACTACACCACTCATGATCTTGAGTTAGCTGCTGTTGTTCACGCCTTGAGGATTTGGCAGCACTACCTCTATGGAGGCAAGTGTAAGATCTTTATCGACCACAAGATCCTAAAGTACATTTTCACTCAGAAGGAGCTGAACATGAGGCAGCGTAGATGGTTGGAGCTGGTCAAGGACTACGACTGCACCATTAGCTATCACCCTGGGAAAGCTAACGTGGTATCCGATGCCCTTAGTCGGAGGAGTTATGGCCAGCTATCTTGCTTGTTCACCGGGCAGGATGTCCTTGTTCGGGAGTTCGAGCGATTACAGCTAGAGGCAGTAGAGTCGACTTCGACAGCCGGGGACGTGTTGGCCTCTTTGGTTGTGGGACTGACACTTTGAGAGAGGATAGTCGCCGAGCAATCGAATGACCGTTTCTTATGCCGGATGAGGGAGTTGTCAGCAGCTGGTAGAGTTGGTGGATTCGCAGTCACATTTGATAGAGCTTTGGTCTTCGAGGGTAGACTTTGTGTTCCGAAGGTGTGGGAACTGCGAAGAGAGATTTTGAGAGAGGCCCATAGTGCTCGGTACACTATCCATCCTGGTAGCACGAAGATGTATCAAGACATGAGGAAGTCTTTCATGTGGCGTGGCATGAAGAGGCAGATAGCGAAGTTCGTGGATGGGTGTCTAGTGTGTCAGCAAGTGAAGGCTGAGCACCAGAAACCGATATGGTTGTTGCAGCCCCTTGAGGTTCCCCAGTGGAAGTGGGAGTGCATCACCATGGATTTATTGATAGGACTGCCGAGATCGAGGGCCGGGCAAAATTCGGTTTGGGTGATAGTGGATCGCCTTACGAAGTCTGCCCATTTTCTGCCAGTTCGGATGACCATGAAGGCGAGTGATTACGCCGAATTGTTCATCAAGGACATTGTTAAGCTTCATGGAGTGCCCGTGGAGATTGTTTCTGATCGAGATCCCAAGTTCACATGTCAGTTCCGGAGGACATTGCACCGAGCCATGGGGACGAGGTTGGAGTTCAGTACAACCTTTCACCCCAAGACAGATGGTCAGTCGGAGCGTACGATCTAGTACTTGGAGGATATCTTGAGGGCTGTGGTCTTGGACCGGAGCCTAACTTGCAAGTATGCCCTCCCGCTAGTCGAGCTGACCTACAACAACAACTACCACTCTTCGATCAAGATGGCCCCGTACGAGTCTTTGTACGGACGTAAAGTCCGGACTTCTTTGTATTGGGATGAGGTTGGAGAGAGGAGGATTACGGGTCCGGATTTTGTCCAGAGTACTGCAGCGACAGTTGAGGAAATCCGGAGGACTATCAGGTCTGCCCAGGAGAGGGAGAAGGTCTATACCGACCGAAAGAGGGAAGATCATGTTTATGAAGTGTGAGATCATGTCTTCTTGAAGGTTTCACCCATGAGAGGTGTGATTCGCTTCGGGAATAAGGGGAAGCTTAGACCTTGCTATATCAGGCCATCGATCGAGTCGGGAACTTGGCTTATCGGCTGGCTTTACCACCGGACTTGTCGGGAGTGCACGATGTGTTTAATGTCTCGATACTTCGGAGATATGTGCATAAGCCTGATCATGTGGTGGACTTCGGCGAGCTGCAGGTCGAGCGAGACCTTACCTATGAGGAGTGTAACACCCCAAACTCATGTCATTCATTTTATGCTTCAGTATTATTTTCATGGATATTATTTATGTTTAATTTAATGATTTATAAAGTTATTTTTATTTTTATTGTAATCTCGATTTTATGTGATAATTAAGTGAGTGTCCACACTCATTTATTTATCAAGTTAATGATTAAAAAGGGAATTATTTAGATGTCCTCATCTATTTAATTTTCCCAAGTATTAAATGCAATAATGTTAATATAATTTTAATTATGAAATGGCTTAATTTAATTAATATAATTTTAATTTATTAATGAAGATAATAATTATTAAGATGATAAATAGAGCTCAAATAACAGTCCAATTTTCCTAAGCCAGATGAAAGCTCAAGACTTCACGATGTTTTATTCCTCATCCAAGCAATAAGAGTCCTAGCCTATATCAATTACCTAGTTCTATTGAGCAAGAACTCTTGTGGTATACGGTACCAATCCCACACATTAAATATCTTACCTCTCATCCCTCACGTCTCTCTCTTACTCTCGGCCCTCTCTCTCTTTTCTTTTTTTTCCCGAAACCGATCATCATCATCATAGCCCTCATCATCGATCACCCTCATCATCGATCACCACCATCATCGTCCCATAGCAGCGCCTCTGTCGTCCCTCACCTTGTTCATCGCCATCATCTTCATCGAGCAGCCTGCCACCATTGAACCTTCATCCTTCGACCACCTTCATCGTCCAAGCAGCAGGCAGCCAACGCGAGCAGTCAACCACCATCCCAGTCGCGCAAGCCTCTTCATCATCACCGTCGCAGCTCCACTGCCATCGGGACCCGTGGAGTTCCGTCGGAGTACCCAACGTAACCGTCGAGTCCCGTCGAGTTCCGTCGGGGCGTCAAACGTAGCCGGCGAGCCCTTCGCGCGCAGCACCACGTGAGCCACAAGCCTTCACCATAGCGAGCAACCCCTCCACCGTCGCGCGCAGGCCCCTTTTTCTCGATCAACAGCCACTACAGCAAGCCACCTCCTCTGCCGCGGACAGCAGCTTCTCCGACGTTCGACACCGTGCAGCAGCCTTCGCCATCGTCGCAGCACCTTCGCAGCGATTCCGGCGAGCCCAAGCGAGAGCGACCGATCCGTAAAGGATCCCAACCTTTAACCGCAGCCCATCGTGTAACACCCCGACTTACTATTACATCAGAGTACGCGATTTTCGCAAATTTTCTGAATAAATAAATAAACTTCTTATTTTGCGAAACTGATTCGGGGGCTGCCGTGAAAAACTTGATTTTCTCAAAACCGTTAAAATTTAAACTGAAACATAAAAACGGTCATAATGTCTTATCCGACT